TTGCACCAGTCTGCACTCCCACCAGCAGTGGAGCAGGGTTCCTCTTTCCCCACAGCCCCGCCAGCATTTCTTTACCTTAATAATAATTTTTGTATTTTATTTAAAGAATATTTTTGCCTATCCCATGTTTCAGAAGTTTGTTTTAACTTTTCATATTTAGATTTATGATCCACCTGGAATTATTTTTGTGTTTAGTGTATGATACAGTACTCTTAATTTTTTCACATGTGGAATACTCAGTTGTCCCAAACTAATGTATTACAAAAACTGTCCTTCTCTCCACTTCTTTACTCGGTATGTTTGTCTGTGTGTGTGTATATTTGCATCTTCTTCAGGAACTTCTTGGCTATTTCCTTTATTTCTTATTTTTTAACAGTTGAATACATAAATTGGCCTATCACTAGTGGTATATGTTTGAAGTATAAAATTTAATAAGTTTTGATGTGTGCACACACATATAAGACCATCATCACAATTAAGATATTGAACATATATGTCACTCCAAAAACTTTTTTGTACCTGTTTGTAATCCTGCCCTCTTCCCTTTCATGCCTCGGGAGCACTGATCTGCTTTCTGTAATTATAGATTGTTTTGCATTTTCTAAGATCTTTTAAAAGTGTACATCCTTACAAAATTCTACCTGGCTTCATCACTCAACATAATAATTTTGAGAGTCAGTCATCATTTCTTTTTTGTGTGTCAATACTTAATTCCTTTTTATTGCTGAGTAGTATTCTATCAGATGGTTGAACCACAATTTGTTTATTCACCTTTGATGGACATTTGGATAGTTTCCACTTTTGAGTTATTAAAACTGCAGTGAACATGTGTGTACAAGTCTTTGTATAAACATGTGCTTTCATTTCTGTTGGATAAATACCTAGGCTCATACATATGGCTGGGTAATATAGTAAGCAAATGCTTTAACCTTTCAAGTATCTGCCAGTTTTTAAGTGTCCATACTATCTTTTATCTCCATCAACAGTTTCTGAGGGTTCCAGTTTCCACACATCCTCATTAAAACTTGATATTTTTTTATTATAACCATTCTTGTGGGTAGGAAGTGATCCATCTTGGTGCCAGTAGCATTCTGTTTTGGTTATCATGACATGTATCTAGATGTTCTCTGAAAGCCTTATGTGCTTATAGGTGGGGCTGTTCAGAGGTGGCTGGATTTAGGGTATGTGTATATGTACCTTAGTACATATGAAAACTAAAGTAGTCCACTGATTGGTTTATCATAGCTCTGGGTGTGGATAGTGAGACGACCCCCCCCATGTGAGTGATACCTAATCCAATAGGCTTGGAGTCTGAATGGGATAAAAATCTGGAAGGCTTGCTGTTTCCTGCCTGCCATGCCATGGACTGTTTCTCCTATGGCATGCTGCTCTGCCTTGGAGCCAGCTGATGACTGTGGACTGAAACCTCTACAAGCTGTGAGCTAAAAAGTAAGCCTTTCTTCCTTTAACTTGCGGGTGTTGAGTATTTTGTCCCAGCAACAAGAAAGTAACTAAGACAATTACTTTTTTTTTTTTTGGTACCAGGGATTGAATTCAGGACCTTGCGCTTCTGAGGCAGGCATGGCACCACTGAGCTAAATCCTGGGCACTAGACAATTACTTTTTTTTTTTTTTCAGTACCAGGGATTGAAGTCAGGACCTTGTGCTTGCAAGGCAGGCATGGCACCACTGAGCTAAATCCCCG